AGGGCCGGTTTATCAATGTCCAGTTAAAGTTGCAGTTAGTTATCTGTTAGATAATTTCCATGGATACCATTGTTCTCACAACGATCGATATGAAATTTAACTGTCAGATAGACTAACTGGAACTTAACTAGCGATTGATAAACCGGCCCTCAGGCAAACAAACACCATAAAAACAGGCAAAAGTATAAAACATTTTAATTACAATTACGTGACAAAATGTACGGATTGTCGAGGCTCACATTTAATCCTACCGACAATAAAATAATCCCACAAACAAACTTCACAATACCATAAACATTTCCTTATCCTTCGAAGAATTTCTAGCCTAATTAATATCCAAAATCCCAGAAATTTGGAAAGCCCTTGCATTAGCTCCAAATTTCAGGTCGACGTACAAGAGCACGTAACGGCCGAACTACCTGTATCTAAAATATAAAACCTAGTCATATCCTAAGCTAATCACTCAGTAACTCAAGACTCAAGACTCAAGACTCAAAACTCAGAACTCAGTCATTTCAATTCAGTGAACCCAGTTCCATCATCCGGTCGACATCATTCAGTTCCAAACTATCGGGCCTCGACATCCAACTTAAACGCTGTTGTAAGTTAAACCACTATTTTTCATTGTAAATAAATAACGTACTACGAACAACACAAGTGTTTAACTTCACACGAAAAATACCTCACTACAACCCCCGCAAATTGGTGACCCCGACGTGATTTGAACATGCAAGTATTTGTGCAAGAAGAAAGCAGTGCTACCAACATGACGAAGACCAAAGCTTCCGGCCTACGGCAATCATTCGCAAACGTAGCGAGCTTCGTAGCACTCCCCTACGCTGCGGTGCACAACACGGTCCACACTGATGTCCAGCACTAAGATCTGCCTCAGTATGACAGTACTGGAGGCCAATATCCACAGCCACGGTCCACACTGGTTCCAGCACTAAGGTCAAACACAGTTGACAATGTTGGATACCACTAACCAACCATCCAAACGCTGGATGACGGTCACAGCTCAATCATCCAAACACTGGATGACGGCCACAACCACAGCTCTAACGTTCAACAGCTATATCGTTCAATAGCTCTATCGTTCAACAGCTCTAACGTTCAAACGCTCTAACGTTCAACAGCTCTAACGTACAACTGCTTTAACGATCAACAGCTCTAACGTTCAACGGCTTCAATCCTCCTCAACACGAGATGCCTCAACACGAGATGCCTCAACGCGAGATGCCTCAACGCGAGATGCCTCAACACGAGATGCCTCAACCCGAGATGCCTCAACGCGAGATGACTCAGACGCCTGGACCGTCCACCTCGAGGAACGTCACACGATACGGAAGACGTGTCCGATTTCCCGAGCACCTCCAGGCAGGACTCAATTAATTCAATTTTTTTCTTTCTCCTTCGTCAAAAACTGGTAGGGGGGTACTGTAGCGGCATTACCTCCACTACTCAGGCAAACAAACACCATAAAAACAGGCAAAAGTATAAAACATTTTAATTACAATTACGTGACAAAATGTACGGATTGTCGAGGCTCACATTTAATCCTACCGACAATAAAATAATCCCACAACCAAACTTCACAATACCATAAACATTTCCTTATCCTTCGAAGAATTTCTAGCCTAATTAATATCCAAAATCCCAGAAATTTGGAAAGCCCTTGCATTAGCTCCAAATTTCAGGTCGACGTACAAGAGCACGTAACGGCCGAACTACCTGTATCTAAAATATAAAACCTAGTCATATCCTAAGCTAATCACTCAGTAACTCAAGACTCAAGACTCAAGACTCAAGACTCAAAACTCAGAACTCAGTCATTTCAATTCAGTGAACCCAGTTCCATCATCCGGTCGACATCATTCAGTTCCAAACTATCGGGCCTCGACATCCAACTTAAACGCTGTTGTAAGTTACACCACTATTTTTCATTGTAAATAAATAACGTACTACGAACAACACAAGTGTTTAACTTCACACGAAAAATACCTCACTACAACCCCCGCACAGCTAAACAGCTAAATAGAAACACGTTAAATTTGCCTGATTTTTTTAATTGGAAATAATTGGGTATAATTTCATAAAAAGTGCTAAAAATAAACCCAATAAAAAAGAAAAAAAGCGTGTGTTTTTCTTTTTTAATGGGTTTATTTTTAGCACTTTTTATAAAATTATAAATTTAACGTGTATCTATAAATTCTTGTTTAGCTGCTTTTTCCAGATATTTTAGACATTTTTTTTCTCCTTTTATTTTAAGACAAAACAAAGAAATTCTCTTGCGATTATCCGAGTGAGTCCATCCATGGTTTTTTATTAGCTTCATTACACTATATACTAGTATACTATAATCAATGCAAATATAATTATTTATATCTAATTTATAAATAAATCTGAGACAAATTGAAAAAAAAACGGTAAAATAACGCAACGGTATTTTCAATCACGATTTCGACATGTGACATGTGACAAGTGACATATGTCAATAGTTCACTAGTCTAATGAATTGCACATTTTATGTAACAAATACATTAAAAGCTGTTAGTCATTATTTGGAGTTCACTAATTCAAAATCTCAAAAAATTGTTTAAAAATCATTAATGTTTTTATAAAAATTGATTTTTCTAAAAAAGTGCCAAGCGAATTGAGTTTATCCTAAAAAAAAATGTCTTGTAAGTGATTTTTTTATCAAAATATGAAAAAAAATCGGATACGTCTGAACCTTTCAATTAAAAATTATTCAGGGACAACGTGATTTATGTCATAAAGCCACACGGTGGGGCTGAAGCATGTTTAACCCTTATGTGCATAGAGAATAAATATACTGATACCGCACAGATAGGTACAATTGTACCTTATACTAGAAAACATGTTTTTGTTTTGCTCATTTTAAATAACACTGCACACAAAAATGCTACTGCAACTGTCAAAAGCGAAAAGCGTTACCATAGAAACCAACTATCAACAACTCGCAATGTTGTCACGTTTAAATCCTATTTTTACGTTTTGAATTATGTAGTAGTGCCTTTAATATTAAAATAAAAATTAATTATAAAATCAGTTCCAACGGCTTTGTTATCTATGATCAGTTCGAAAATGGCTGTTTTTTAAATCCAATGTAGGTAATAAAATGACAAAGGAAATTTTGATTTTGTAAGTGGGTACCTATCGCTATTTATAACATAACTCGTCACCTGAGTATTGATTTGTTCTATGTCCAATATATTATAATCGAGATAAACGGGTTTGAAACTTTTACATTAAATATCTTATTTGTTTTTTAATGAAAACTTAATTAAACATTAATAACAATATTCTTGTTTAGCCTTTAATTAGTTCTATTGAGCAACTCTTATCTCAAATTTGGATTTATGCCTCAATATTGGAAAAAACGTTTTGGAGATAAAACAAAAAGTGCTATTTTTGGATTTTAGAAACAAAATGTTGGACATATAACAAAGTTTTAGGACATGAAACAAAACTAAATTAAAAAACACTTTATTTAATAATGATTTACTTTAATAATAATTATTATAATTATTGTCAAAATACAATGTCATATACATGTAAATAGGTGAAAAAACGTGTACTGGCTAAAGTGGATATAGAACAAAACAATTTTATACTTATAAGGAAGCTTTCCTTGGAGATAGCACAAAACAGTTATAAAATATTTTTTCTATATGGATATAGCATAAACAAATACTAATTATTTTCAGATTTTTACAAACACATAGAGCAAAAGAAAGCCTGTAAGCGAAATTTTGGAGATAGAGTAAACCAATTTTAAACCTTTTATACTAAACTCGGATTTAGACTAACCTAAACTAAAAACTGACACAATTATAACAAAATACTATTATGGAGATGGAACAAACCAACTTCAACTTTCCGAAAATGCATAAACCTCAAAATGGTAAAAAATGGAGATAGCACAAACCAATACTCAGGTGACGAACTGTATGTAAAAAAAATTAAAATATTCTAAATTTATTGATTTATTTAAATGACGAAAATTTGCACAAAAATTCTTTTTGCAGATTTAGAATCTTTGTATTAAAACGAGTCGAAATCCAATATTTCAGACTTTTTCCCCGAGCCGTTTTTGAGAAAACCCAATTTTAAAGTTGAAAACAGAAGTTTTTGTAATTCCAAGAAAATTTACAAAAAATTTTGATTTTTTAAACAAAAAGAAATGGTTAGGCACTTATGAGGGGTACCTAATTAAAAAAGTGCACTAAAATTATTAATAATTTTGCCTGAAAGCATATTGAGTAAAAAATTTCAATTTCATATCTTGGAAAGAGCCCGACAACGAAAGGCTTTTTTCTCAAAGTATAAAAATGACCGATGGCAGTTTTTAAAATGCAAAATAATCTGATGATGTTGATGCACGAGTATAATTTGGGTAGATATTTACATGTATACACGAATAAACTAATTAAAGCAAAGAATAACATTTTCTTTAATTGATTGCATTGATTCTGTTAGTTCAGAGCAAATAATTTATTTTCAACTGCTTCTTGCAAAAACATGACATTTTACGAACTGTCAGATTCAAATAAAACTTGACGTTTTTTTTATAAATTACCATGGTACAATTAGCAATTATTGATTTATAGTGTGTCAAACGATAATTGACGTGTAGTTGTATATATGTATAAGACTTTTATGATAGTTGTAATAATTAACATTCGTCACTAGTTTTATGTTTGTGTTGAATTATTTAAAAAAAATGGTTTCAAAGAAAGATCATGCTGGGACTCATGACGAAAACCGGAAAAAGATATGCTTGTTTTGTTTGAACAAGAAATTAAGTATGAGGAAGGTTGAAGGGGCCATGAAAAATGCGGTTGAAAAAATTGTTGTGTACAATTCTGAAGACGATCGTTTACCAAAGGCTATCTGCAGTGCTTGCGCAATACTAGTTTATCGAGCAAACAAAAGTGAAAAATCTAATATTAAGTTACCCGATTATTCTGAATTTCTAGTTTTACATAAGAACACCAGAGCTCAAGATAAAACAATTTGCAAGTGTAAATTGTGTGAACTTGTAAGAACTCCAGGACATGAAAACTTTGCGAAGAATAGAGTTTTAAAAAAAAGTTCTCGTAAGTGTCCAAAATGCAAGACCTTGTTGCGAAAAGGAAAAGCGCATTTTTGTGTTGCTCAGAAATATGAAAATTTGGTGGAGCATGTTATGTCGGCGCTTGCTCCAAAAGCCCAAGAGCATTTAGTAATCGATTTAATGAAAAATATTACTAGAGATCCAAATATAAATCTTCAAAAACCGGGTGCTGAAGTTAGTTTGTCTCGAAGATGCGGGAAAGCGCTGAAAGTAGCCTTCAATGTTGATGCTAAAACTTCACCTAAGCCAATTGTTGCGGAAGATGTTTTGACAATTGGAACGGAATTCGGGCTTTCGAATAATGCTGTTGTCGGTATTGCTTCTGCCATTCGTATTTCCACTAAAAGTAGACAAATGTTTGAACCGAAATTAAAGAAAAAATTACGTACTATTAGACATTCATTGGACAATTATTTTACTGTTAAAGATTGTAATGTGATTCATACAGAGAAGAGCAATAAGAAAAGTGAGACTACAGAAGCTTTAGTTTATTGCAATGATATCGAAGGTCTTCTAAAAGTAATTCATGAGAAAAGAAATAATACTGAAACGCATTTAAAATTCGGCATTGGCGGTGGAGGTGGATTCTTGAAAATTTGTCTCTCAGTTCAAGCAACTAATGAAGAAACGAATAATGGAGAAAAACGAAGAACCTCTTACAAAAGGACTACCGGGACAACTAAATTTAAAGACAGTGGCGTCAAAAAGCTATTTTTGCTCGGAATAGTCGCTCATACCGAAGAAAATTATGAAAACGTAGCGATGTTGTGGTTTCTATTGCAAATAAATAAATATGAGGCGACGATAGCAACGGACCTAAAATTAGCCAATATTCTCACAGAAATTATGTCCCATTCGAGTTGTTTCCCTTGTACATGGTGTTCTGCATACAAAGATAAATTAGATATTTGCGGAGAATACAGAACTTTAGAGATCTGTTCAAGAAAATATAGAGCTTGGCGCGAAAGTGGTGGCCAAAGAGCACGAGCAAAGAATTTTGAAAATTGTATGCATCTACCGATCATTGCAAGTAGGAATGATACAAAAATAATAGATATAATTCCCCCACCTAATTTACATTTAATGTTAGGGGTTGTCAACACGCTCTACAACCACATGCTTAAGGAGTTTGAGAAAGATGCTTTGAAATGAGCTAAATAATGCAATGTAATCCAGCAATTCGTTCATGGAGGTCCTGCATTCGCAGGAAATGCGTGTAGATCACTTCTTGGAAAAGTTGATCGCTTACATAGGTCATGTTCCGTGGGATGTCTAAAGTTTGTCCAATGCTTTTCAGACTTTAATACTGTTGTAAATTCATGTTTTTCTGGTCAGCTAAAACCAACTTACGAGGACGATATAAAAAAATTTAAAGAAAGCTATTGTGACTTAGGGATTTCTATCACTCCTAAAGTTCATGCCGTGATTTTTCATGTTCCTGATTTTTGTAAACAAAGACAACAAGGCCTGGGGTCTTATAGCGAATAAGCTATGGAATCTGTACATGCTGACTTCAAGAAAATTTGGAACAATTTCAAGATTTCGAAGGAGCATCCAGAATATGCAAATAGATTACTTCGGGCAGTACAGGAATATAATGCTAGACACATGTAATTAATATGAAGTTTTGTTATATGTAGGTATGTCAGTATTAATTTATTAAATGTTTTTTAAAGTGGCATGGTTTTTTTTACAGATTATGTAACAAGGATATTGATTTAAGGCCTTCTTCATATATCCATCACTTTAAAACTGATGTTTTATTTATAATATTTATATATTTATTTTGTTGGTGTTTAATTTATTAAAAATAAACAAATTTATCCTTAATCTGCAATCTTTGTACAGAAACACCCACCTAAATTAACAAAAGCTAACCATAAAATATCGCTAGTGATTGTTGGTTATTTTCACTCTTAAAAATAGGTTTTCTCAAAAACGGCTCGGGGAAAAAGTCTGAAATATTGGATTTCGACTCATTTTAATACACAGATTCTAAATCTGCAAACATAATTTTTGTGCAAATTTTCGTCATTTAAACATGCTTCAGCCCCACCGTGGCCAATAAGTGAGTAGTTTTGTGCTGAGCTTAAACAACAATTGAGCAAGGCACGTCTCAGCCGAATGGCATACAACATTTAACCTTCAAGTTTTATTTGGTTAACGATACATAAAACGTACCTACTTACGCTAATTGAGGAATGTGCGGTCAAAAACAAATATGTCCACTCCCGGCGAAAATTCAAGTAAGCACTAGTTGTTGTAGTACGGGGTCATTTACATATCTAACTAACTATCTTAAAAGTGGTCGAAGACCAATATTTCCTATTTAAAATGATACCCAAAAACAAGATGCCTGATTTAAACAAAAAAATTCCTGTAGGGTGGAGTGAAATTTATTATGGTAACCATTTAATATGCCTATATTGGCTGAGCAAAACACTTGATGGTAAAAATTTAATACGCTTTTCTTGGAGAAAGTGGTGTCATATTACTACAACTAAAGAAAAAAAAAATTATATTGATCAGGCAATGTTTGGATGGTCCGCCACCTTTTTAAAGTTCAAAGATAAAATCTGCATCTAAAAAGGTGGCGAACCCTCCAAATATTGTCCGATCAATATAATTTTTTTTTCGTTTATTGTGATAATACACTTATATTAAATTTTTACCATAATATATTTTGCATAAAGGCATATTAAATGGTTACCATCAGGTATTTTACTCCAACCCAATGTCCAGCCTGCTGGTCCAGTCAGAGGCAAACATGTCCAACCAACTAGTCATACACAGTAAAAAAATATTTGTTAATTTTAACCAAATAATAATAATAATAACCAGATTTTATGTTAATCCAGGTCCACATAACTTTTTGTTAGGTTTACAACCAAATGTAATCTGTTAACTAATTGAATAAGTACTTTGTAATTATTACAGACATTTTGTAGATTTAGGGTATGTTCCGTAAGTCAACTTGGTTGGTTTGGTTTCGGTTAAGGTGTCCCGTAAATGAAAAATTCCTGAAAATTATGTAGTTAAGAAACGCGGTTCCTGAAAAATAGGTTAACCAATCGTTACCGAAACGACCGACGCTGTATGATCGGTTAAATCGGTTACCAGTGCTGCAAACCAAATGGAAACAGTGTTGCCCTAAACAAAATTACTGTTTTTTGTTGGTTATCTAACCTAAAAATTTAACACAGGAGCAGACTTCGCATACAAAATACGTTTTGTCCAAAAATAATTGAATTCAGTATATAGGGTGTTTTAGGTTTGTTTATGTAACTATAGAAATATTATTAAAAATATATGCAAGTAAGTTGGGTTATGTTTTTTCAAATAAAGGTGTCCCGTAAATATGAACTAACCGAGAAAACCAGGAATTTATTTCAGTAACCAGACCGGTAACTCGTGTGTATTTACGGAACATGTCCACCCTGCCACCGCACTGTACTCTAACTAACTGATATAAAGCAAAATCTAAACTAAACTTACAATATTTAGCACTTAAAAATATGAAATGAATGAATATAAAATAATATACGTAGCAGCTGTGTTTACGCTGCTCTCCAATAATGTAAACATGGCCCGCGTTCGCTGGTGTACGGTTTCCAAGTTCCAATTACTAACACGGCCAATCCTGACATTAGGGCGTCCTCGCACCTATTAAATAGAACAATTAAACAACGATAAAACAAACAAACAGACATGCTTCCAGCTACTGCATAGCATAATATTGACATCTAATCATTTAGTGGACTAGTACTCCTAGTTCAACAAAAATCTAATCATTTAGTGGACTAGTACTCCTAGTTCAACAAAAATTCAACTGGTACTCCCAGTTACATAAAATTAATATTCACATCTAATCATTTAGTGGACTAGTACTCCTAGTTCAACAAAAATTCAACTGGTACTCCCAGTTACATGAAATATTAATTTTGGTAACACCAACAATTTATTTTCTTTCGGTTGATACTCTCAACCAAGGCAGCGCACCTTATCAAACAATGGATCTGAGACTCTCAGTTTTAACACGACAAAATTCAAATTTGCTTACAGTATTTTGTAAAACTCTCACAAAATATTTCTTTTGGATTGATACTCTCAATCCGGGCAGCGCACCCTCAATCAATAGTGAACAACTCTCGCTATTTACAAAGATTTCAAGATCTTTCAAATGGATACTCTCCACATAATAACAAATAATAAAAATAAAAATAAAAACAAAAATACTTACAATTTTTGTAGTTTCGATCACAAATTTCCAGTGTTTACTGAAGGCCAACGTCTTAGCTGGTCCCGTGAGGCTACCGTTGTTCGCTTGCCCCCACTACCGAGACAGTAGCGATCATTCTTTAGGACCTTTTGTACCACAAACGGACCCTTAAACCTGGCACCTAATTTGCCCCTGCCGGGAGCCTGTGTGTCCTCAATTAATACTTTTTCACCTACTGCAAAAGGGGTAGCAATTTTTCTGTATTAATTTAAAATAGCAATTAAATAATTCTTTTGACACTCGTCCAGTCCTGACCCGAAAACAATATTAATTTCGTTTGATATATTAAAATTGTGAATACGTGGAAAATATTAATCGGAAGGAATTAAATCTACAATATTATTTTTTTTAACGACCTGTATACTATCTTGACAAACTACATCAAGTCCTATTAGGGCATATAACTTACTTCCAATTACGTTATCGGGTACTACTAAAAATTGAATCTCTATAGGCGCCTGTCGTGTTTATGTAATGCTACAGCATATTAATTTATAAATTAATATGCTGTAGCATTACATAAACACGACAGGCGCCTAATACTTTAACATAATTGACTGGGCCTATACCCTGAATTGTTTTATCAACAGGGAGTACTGGAATTTTGAGTTTAGTAATTACATGTTGAGCAATAATTGAAACTTCGGCACCGGTGTCAATTATGCACTTTATTTGGGCAGATTGCTCTCCCTGTACTACAGCTATAGATAGTCAACTTTCATCGATCCTGTTTTGACGCACAATTTTGACAGAATGCCCCTTAGTAAAGCAAGTTGCTTCAAGGTGTCCAGGCTTGTGGCAATAACTGCATTCAAGCTTAGTTTTCTTAGACGCGTCATTTAAATTATTTTTGCTTAAATCTTTACCAACAAAAGTACTGGTGCGCACATTACAATCACGCTCCCGATGACCAACTTTACCACACTTAAAGCATTTGCCAACAAAGCTATTTCTCTCCGAAAAACGATTTGAATTAAACGGCTTGTTATTAAATTTACTGTCCCGAGATTTAGAGTCATTGGTTAGTGACATTCGTTTTGTACGGTGTGCCTCCGACTGTTGTCTAACACTCAACTTTTGCTGAGCCTCGTATTGACCCAATAATCGAAGCAAATCCTGCTGGTTAGAAGGCTGCCGTGCCTGAATTAAATTTCTAGCATTTCTATTTTCAATCCCCGTTTCCACGCAACTTAACAAATATTCTCATGAAAGTGACTTTAAAAATCTTTTTATATAACGGATTTTTGTTAAAGCGTACTCAGTAAGCGAGTCAAAATTAGTACTTGTTAAATTAGCCGCACGAATCATACGCGTTCCATGCGTTTCGCCATCAGGAAATGCATTGATTAGATCAGTAACAAAATTATCCCAGTTTCGTTCAACTGGTCGCCAGTGGTTATAAAACTTTAAAGCCCTACCTTTTAATGCGTCAGCACATCTGATTATCATCCAGTTTTCGTCAATATTTAGTCTACTTTTTATTTGGTTCACATCATCTATCCACTCCACTATGGTGTGCGCTCCATCGTCAGGATCAAAAGCTGCCAAGCGAAAGCGTGAATCGGGTTTACTGATGCCAGAGGAACGGTTTTCTCTATTATCCAAATGTTTTAAAAATACTTGCATAGTTTGCTGAAAAGCTTGCATATATGGTGTAACTTCAGGCGAAGGACCTTCACTAGAACATTGTTGCGGTTCCACGCCACTAGCAACATGCTCTTGAGTTTCACTTCTCCCGTCTTCATGACCGTCAACACTCAGTGCGTCAATAACACCCTGCTCGTTATTCATTGCAACAATAAAATGAAGAATCAAAAAAAATTAAATAAAAGCTCACAAATAATCTTAATCAGAACGACACACAAGCAACGACTTATTCAGCGAATCAACTTCTCAGGAATTGAATAGCAATTTTTAAAAAAAAACTATTACAAATAATTAGAGTTTGACTCTTGAAATCAAACATTTTCAACAAAAATTGACAAATCAGCAAAATAAAAATAATAAATTAAATCAATTTATTAACTTACGACTATATATCCGAATAAGTCACGTACTTACAAAATGCAGAGTAAGTAAAGTAAAAAATAAAAAAAATATTATTTTCTGAAACAATAGCATCATTCAATAGAACAATACTTCTAGCCCCTGCAATTTAATTTGATTTAATTTTAATTATATCAGCATACCGACCTCTAATCATCATATTAGTAATAATCCAATTGGTAATAATCCAAAATTAAACAATAACAAACACTAATAACAAAAAAAACAAACAAAAGCACAACACATTGCACTACAAAAAATATAGCGGCGTCTCAGTTCATCTCACTTCTGATGTAAAGATAACAGATTTTATTATGTAAAACAATTTTAATAAAGAACAATTTAAGGTTACATGTCCACCCTGCCACCGCACTGTACTCTAACTAACTGATATAAA